CGACCAGGTTATAGGTCCGATGGATGTTTCCTTTACCAAGCCTAAATCCCTGTGTGGGGTTAGGAAGAAGTCTATTCTGGAGTATGATCTATTTGGTATAGAGTAGTGTGTAAAATCTTTTGTCGTTGGGTGGGATATCCTCCAGCAGTCTGTCAATTGATTTGTGTGAATAATGTGTTTCATTTGGCATCTCGAGGAAGTGAGATGTTTGGTATTTTGGGATGTGCTATCTTTGTGGGCGTCTAACGAGATGTTAAAATCCCCCCCTATAATCAGAATGCCTATTGAATTTTGTTTGATCTTGGCCATTATTTTCCTAAAGGCACCACATTGGTGCTTGTTCGGGAGATAAATCGCTACCAGAGTGATTGGTTCTGCTCCCACTGTCCCTTGAAGGATAATGAACCTTCCCGATTCGTCTGTTATGTGGTTAGAGTACGTGAAGGGGACAGTGTTCCTTATTAGTATCGCTACTCCTCTCGATTTACTTTTATTATAGTTATTGTAGTAAACTTGAGGGAATTTGTGGTGTTTGAGTTTCAGGGCATCTGGGCCTCGGTTTCTTCTAGAAAGGCTATATCTGATTTATTGTTATCTAGTTCTGTGAGTACCATCTTTCTCTTTTCCGGAGTATTGAGTCCCCTGACATTATGGGAGCTAATTCTCAGTGAGCCCATGATCTAGGGTGGGTCGAATTGAACCGTTCTTTCGGGGATGAGAGTGGTTGTAGTGGTGTAGTTTTGGCGGGGTGTTTCGTGGTGTACCGGTCGCCTATAGGAGTGTGTAATGTGCTCCTGCCGTGAGTTGTTAGTGATCGTGTGAGAACTTTGTTGCGTAGGGGAATGCAACGATATCAGATCTTAATTTTGAATAACAAATAACATATAAAGATTAACTATTTACAGTGGGTGATTTCGTAAATATTGAACTTAGTATTCTTCGAGGGTCTGTCCCTGTGTGGGTAACTCCCTCTTGTGGGCAATAGAGGTCTAGAGCTTTACGTTGGTAGTTTGATCGTTGGGTCTGAATAAGTCAAGATCCCTATTGAGGAGTCGGTACTGAGCCCTGAGTATTCCCAAGTTTAAGTACTGGGTCAGGGGTGTATGTCGAGTCTATTGGTACCACTCAGGATCGCCTAGGGTCCTACTCTGAGTCCAGGGGTGAGTGTGGACTCGTTGAGGTCATGTACTATTGTATCGATTAAATTTTTGTGGGGAGAAGGGGCTGTATCCCCTGCGTTCTGGGAAATCTGAACCTTGCTGCCTGTGTGAGGGTAGCTTCCCGTGGGGCGGATGGGTTACACTTAACGTTATTGATCTGGTTACATATTGGGCTTGGCTAATGTTTCTCGTGGTGTTTTTTTTTTTGGGGGGGTATAGGTGTCTAGGGCTAACCTGTGAGATATGTCAAGCATAGTTATAACAGTTTTGTCACTCTGTCGTTATGTCTACTTGCTTACAAATGTACAGTTACCAGGGCTGTGTTCAATGGGATATACGACCTGAGCAGTCTCATTCTTTCACAGTCGGTGTGGTAATTATAATTATCAGTAATGTCTGTATGGAGTAGTCCTTCTTTCGTTTTCTCAGTGAATTCTTCTCGGGGTTGTCGGCTGTCTCCTGGTTCTCATGAATGGTGATGCTGGTGGCGTTTTCCAGGTTGGTCTTTTTCGGGTATCTGTTGCTTGTCCTCTTGGTCGTTGTTGTTGTGTTTGTAATGTCTCTGGTTCAGAGATGTCGTACCAATCTGGTATTTCAATGTTGGGGAGTCCTAGGCGCTTAGAGAAGTCTTCCACATCGGCTGCGGACGTAAGCGTAGCTTGTACTCCTTGGTATGATGCGGTTAAAGAGAAGGGGTACCCCCATCTGTATTTGATATTAGCCTGTTGGAGTGCTTGTGTGATCGGTCTTAGCGTTCTTCTCCCTCTCAGAGTCATCCACGCGAGATCTGGGAGAATTAGTAGTTTGGTATTGTTGTAAATAATTTCTGTGGCGTCTCTTGCGCTTCTCATAATGGCTTCTTTTTCTGCATGATTGTGCACTCTGCAGATTATATCCCTGGGTGTTTCGTGGGGGAGGCCCTTGGGTCTTAGTGCCTATGGGCTCTTTCTAGCAGGATCTGTGTGTCCTCTGGTCGTTGTAGCATTTTATTAAATAGAGATTGCAGTATATGGTGGAGGTCTTCAGGTGTCCCCTGTGTTTCCGGTAGCTCCCTTATTCTTATATTGTTTCTTCTACTGCGGTTATCTAGATCCTCTGTGTTTCTCATCATATACATAATTGTTGTGTCCCTGCTATCTTGTTTTTTTTCTAGTGCTTGAATTCTTTCTATTATTTGGTCCCTATCCTCTACCAGGTCTCCAACCCTGTTGTTCACTTGCCTTATGTCAGAGGTCAGCGTTGTGATCTGGTCCTGCATTGAGGCTTCCAGCTTTGCCAGCATGGCTGCCAGGTCGTCCTTTGAAGGTAGGTTTTGCAGGATTTCTTTTATGTCTGCCATTCTGGGGTCTGGGGGTGATTCCGACCCGATTAGACTGAGTGGAGGTGAACCGCGTGGGGAAGATGGCGCCGTTTGACTGTCTTCTAGGCCTGCTCCGAGCACTCTCATGGTGTCTCGGAAGTATTTGTCCAGACCTCCCGGGTTTTTTGCGGCTCCTTGGTCCGGAGTGTTCAGGGTAGGCTTATCTTTTTTTCTGTTGCCCATTTTTTAAGTTAAATGCGTTCTTTTCACCAGTTTTTGTTGCCGCCGGCGGGGAGCTCCGTTTATGTGTGTTCGCTCACATTTGGTGCCAGGCCACGCCCCTTTTTTCCTGTTTTTATCTTTGTACCCTTTTCGCTGTTGTTGTTTACCAGTTTCATTTTTTTTAAAACTTAAAGAACATTTGAAAATAACAACAAAATAACATCCAAAAGAACTCTAAAGTACATTACATTTTAATAATTCCCTGATTTCAAAATGAGGAATGTAAAATTTGTAGGAATAGAACAAATACAATCATATGATACAATACAAAATATTATCCCAGAGAGAAACCTTTTGTATTCAGGGATTGAAATAGGAACTTAAGATCTGGTTAATAATTTTTCATCCTTTTTCTATTTCTCGACAGCACATTTTCCCAGACTCCTTTATGTTACTTGGTATTTGGTTGCACTTTTATTTGTATTTTTTTAAATTTCTTTTTCATGGGTTCATGTATTATTAAAAAAATATACATTGATCAACCACAATATTAAAACCACTGAGGTGAAGTGAGTAACATAGATTAGATTGTTACAATTGCACCTGTCAAGGGGTGGGGTATATAAGGCAGCAAGTGAACAGTCAGTTTCTGAATTTCATTTGTTGGAAGCAGAAAAAATGGGCAAACGAAAAGATCTGAGTGACTGTGACAAGGGTCAAACAGTGATGGTTAGATGACTGGGTCAGAGCATCTCTAAACAGCAAGTCTTGTGAAGTGTTTCTGGTGTGCAGTGTATAGTACCTACCAAAAGTGATGCAAGCAAGGACAACCATTTAACAGGCGTTTGGTTAAGACTCATTGATGCATATGGGGAGTAAAGGCTAGCCCATCAGGTCCGATCACACAGAAGAGCTACTGTAGCTCAAACTGCTGCAAAACAGCCACTATAGAAAGGTGTCAGAACACACAGTTTGTTGCAAATGGGGCTGCCTATCCACAGACTGGTCAGAGTGGCCATGATGACCCCTGTCCACTACCAAAAGCGCCTTCCATGGGGAGGTGAGCATCAGAACTGGACCACAAAGCAATGTTGGAGGGATGAATCATGATGATGAATCATGTTTTTTAGATCAGGTGGATGGCCACGTCATGCATGTGTGTTGTTTACCTGGGGAAGAGATGGCAGCATGATGCACTATGGGAAGAAGGTAGGCCAGCAGAAGCACTATTGCGCTCTCTGCAATGTTCTGCTGGGAAGTCTTGGGTCCTGCTCAGGAATTGTTTGGGTAACATGGCAAAGGGTTTAATGTGATTCCTTGGCCTCCAAATTCCTAGATCATAATCTGATTTAGCATCTGTGGGATATACTGTAACAAATCCAATCTTTGGAAGCCCCACCTCACAACTTGCAGGAGTTAAAGGATCTGTTTCTAATGTATTGGTGCCAGATACGACAGGACACATTCAGAGATCTGTGCCTTGATGCATCAGAGCAGTTTTGGCAGCATGAGGG